AAGTGACCCTAGCCTCATAAAAAGAGTTGGAGTGCACTGCTTACTTCTGGAACTGCTTATATAAGTCATACCCACACCCTTGTTGAAGATTGGCTACAGTTGTGACTTAAGTAGAAAATTGAGAGGTTTTTTGGCAGTGGCAGAATGTTACATGATTTGCTGTGGATTTAAGATCAGAGTAAAACAGTTGCTCAAAGAACACAGCTATCCCTGAAATGAAGACCCAACCAACCCTGTACATTAGCCGTCATAGAGAGCCCTCTTGGTAATGCAGTGAGAACTTCCTTCATATGACTGTTCCTTACCACTCTGCTCAGCACAGGCTAGCCACAGAGTGTGCAGGTGTGGTTCATGCAGAGCAATTCCATGGCGGAGTAATGGGATTGAGTCCAGGTGAACAGCCCTACCACGGGCTAGAGCAGGGTTCTTAATCCAAGCCATGGATGGGCTCCAACAGGTCCTTGCCCGCCTGAGCTGAGTGTGTCTGCAGACCCAAGTGCCAAATCTTCAAGATCCACAGACAGCTACCTGCTGCTCTCTGTGGATTCATGGACTCCTGCAGGCATTCTATAAACAGCTCTCACATCCAAACTTGTGATAGATACTCCTGGGTCTGAGTTTTAAATTAATCTCCCTAAAAGGCTGCATCAGATAAACACACGTCAGTGCTGTTTCTTAAACGTCTATAAAATGTGGTCTTTACATAGCAGAGCACGTGTAAAAGGTCAGATTTTAAACTTTGGACAATGCCTTGTTACTCTAAGTGGAAATGTTACTGTTTGAAGAGCCTCTGAATTGTGCTACTTGGATCGAGGAGTTTAAAGTACTAGATTGTCCAGCTCTACCCTGGGGTTTGCCTAACTGACTGTGTTCTTTGCATAGGGCGACCCTGGACATCTTTGACTACATCTACATTGATGCCTTTGGGAAAGGCAAGCAGCTGACAGTGAAGGAGTGTGAATACCTGATCGGCCAGCATGTGACTGCAGCCCTGTACGGGGTGGTCAACGTCAAGAAGGTGCTGCAGCGAATGGTGGGGAACCTGCTGAGCCTGGGAAAGCGGTGAGCATGCCTGCCTCACTGACAGTGGTGCAGAGAGAGGGGGGTCGCTAGGGGCTGGGGTCGCCTTAACAAAGAACGCTCTTTCATCAGCTACCCTGTGATGTAGCAGATTAGCGGGCACTGTGTAGGATAGCTGGGATGTCCACGGCTGTCATCCACCCACCACTGAAAGGGACTGTTTCCAGGGGCACAATGCTGTCCAGAGTTGAAATGCACTGTGATTTTTCTTTGAGATCTTTATCCACTGATTTGGGCAGGTCCTCTTCTTCGTAAATACTGAAAGCATTCTTCACTAACAAGAATCTTCCAGGCTGCCATTAGTTTGTTTTAGGAAGCACGATGTTCTCATGTCCAATGCTTTGTCATCTTTCAATTCACACCTTTCTATGATTTAAATAAAATCACATAAAAAAAATGGGAAACTGGCTTCAGATTCCAAGGAAATTTGCCCTAAAAGGGAAAGAGGAGGATCTGTAGTAATAGTTTTCTCTATCAGTCTTCATTTTTAATGACATACTGTCACGCTGAAGTGACTACTTAGTGAAAACACTTAATGTCTTCATTAGGTGCCCATCACCAAAGTGGGAAACAGCATTTATATTCATTGTATTTTTTTAGTTGTTCTTATTTAGAGCATTTTAACTATTTGCTGAACAGAATCAAAACTTTGGGTGTCTGTCAGTAGTTTTTATAATTGGAGCCTTGGCTAAAAAGCAAACAGGCTAAGACAAAGCTTCCTCTTGCCCTGCTAGGGAAGGCATCGATCAGTCGTACCAGCTCCTGAGAGACTCGTTGGATCTGTATCTGGCAATGTACCCGGACCAGGTGCAGCTTCTCCTCCTCCAAGCCAGGCTTTACTTCCACCTTGGAATCTGGCCAGAAAAGGTAATTATCTTACTTTGATAGTTTATACTTGCCATAGAGAGGGAAATCCTAGATTCATGTTAACCTGTTAAGGTGGCTGTTCCCACTTAGTCCTTTTATGGACATGGGGAACAAACACAAATCTATTCCCGCCTCCCCATCTTGACCCATCAGTTACATTTTTTCTGTCTCCTTGAATTCTAATGAAAACTGGTTGTACTGCCAGGAACTGTCTGTTCTCATTATGCTTGGCCCCTTGGACATCCAGAACCAGAAAGCCACAGCCTCTGCCCCACCACTCACCTGCTGAGGCCCTGCAGATAGATACCTTTCCCCTGAGTCTCCCTCACTCAGCAACAACAAGCAGAGTTGACAGTGTTCAACACCTAGCTGTGCTGTCAGCAACCAAACGACCATACGGTGTACTTCAATATGTAAGGGAAGTGCAGATTTCAGGTGTGTTCAAGTCCATCCACAGGACTAGGGAAGGACTGGCTGTGTCCTTGGAAACCAGTGAATGTTCCATGAGAATGTTCTCACGTGCACGTTGGCCAGCAGCAGGAACTTCCAGAGGGCCACACATGAGCTCAGAAATGCTCGCCAGTGAGCTAGGGGCACTGCAGATGTGTACGTGCAGTTGGGCAGGATGGTGCTGTGCAGAGCCACCTGTGCGTCACTGTCCCGCCCTGGCATTTCTCCAGGACCCTGTCAGTCAGCTCGGGGAGAGAATGTAATTCTAAACTCTTAAGGATGTCAGTGTAAAGTCAGCTGCCCATGTGATTGGAGAGTGGTTGAATCTTCCTCGGGGAAGTACATACCCTGACTGACTACATAGCTTTGGTTTACATTGTCTCCTGAGTTCATAGCTTCAGACGTCTGAAATAGTTCTGAGGCGGGAAGCAGCCCTGGGAGAAAGCGTGGGCTCCCATCTGAAAGAGAGACCTGAGAAGTAGCCTAGAAAGCAGCTGTCTTCCCACATCCCCCATGTGACTGGAAGTCACTGGATAACTGGACCCTCTGCAGAAGTTTACCACCTGCTTTGGGCTCGGTTGCCCAGGGTTTTTCAAGCATATTTTTTCATGTTACCTATCTGGTTTTGATACCAAGATAATAGGATTCACAAATTCCTGTCACCTTTTAACCTTTCAGATTTGCTAAGGAATTTCATTATGATTTGTAAAGTGCAGAGACGTTGACACAGGCAAGTTAACTACCTTGCCTGGGTCTTGCACTCTTAGAGGTACTAGGAGTTCAGCTGAGGCAGCTTGGTCCCAGAGCCCACCCACTTCTCACCCCTGTGGTACAGCAAGCTACGGCAGGGCTGTTTCTGAAGAAGGCAGTGAGCAGGAGCTCTTCCTGCTTCCTGCTGCCAAGCCACACACTTATTAGATCCATGGTGATCTGTGATCCTTCTTTCTCTACATTGATTCCAGCAGAAAAGGAGCCCCTCCTACTTCTCAAAGGAAACTTCCCTTCCCCCCACGCTCTGGATCCCAACCCTCCCGCCTTTCCTTAGACTACACAATTCTTCCTTGTTCCTTCTCCTGGATCTTTAGTTTCCTGCTTCTTTTGTCTTAGTGCCAGCATTAAATGTACTCAAGTCTCTCCCATCTGTGAGGAAGTGAAAAAGCCAAAACTCCCATGACTCCCCTCCCCTCTCTCCCCTCCGGCTCCTCTCTTATCATCCTCCCCTGCACAGTTACGTTCTTACAGGCTGTCCATGCGTGAGGACTGCCCTGTCCTGCCCGTGCTCTCATTCCCACCCCACCTCCATTGGCACCGTTCCTTGCCAAGGACACCACCGACCGCTCATGCTCAATCCAGTAGCTTCTTTTTGGGCCTTGTCTGATTCGACCGCCCTGGGGCACTCCCTGTGCTGTCCCCTTGCCTCTGTCTCTAGCTCTCTTACTCTTGTTGGTGCCTTGTCCGCCCCTTAGACAAGTCTGGCTCTCGACTGCAGGGTAGTTTCTAGACTTCTTTCCCTGGGCGAGCTCATCTGTGCTCCTTGCTTCAGTTACCATCTGTGTGTTGATGGCTCCCAAGTCTTTGATCTCTTGCCCAGACCCTGGGCTGTAGGCCCATAGAGCCCAGTGTCTCTTACACCTCTGGACGTGGCTGCCTCTCCCAGACACCTGAGGGTCAGCACATGTAAACAGCACTTAGTGGCCTCGGTGATGGCCTGGACTTCCCGCTTGGTGTCCGTCCCTTCACCTTCAGAACCTCTGACCCACTTTATCCTTGGTGCCAGAGTGACCTCAACACGTGCTGATTTCATGGTGCTTACAGGCCGACCACCCTCAGTGGCTCAGTCTCCTGCTTCTCGGTGCGGCCGACGAGCTTCTCAGTGGCCCGGCCCTGCCTGCCCAGCTGCCTCCTTTCTGGGTTGCCCCCTTGCACTCTATGTGGCCACAGCCACGTCTGTCTGCTGTGCCCACTTTCTTCGGGCCTTTGCGTGTACTGCAGTCTGCCTAGAAGCTGTCTCCTTATTCCTCATCTCCGTTTACCTGGCCAGCTCTTGCTGAACTTTCAGCTTCAAGTATTGCCTCCTCTGAAATCCCTTCCCTGGCCCCTGCACTCTGGGTGAGGTGCTCTGGCTGGGTCCCGGACTGCCCCTCTCCCAGGACTTGTTGGAGGTGTGTTAGAGCTGCCTGTTCACCCATCCTTGTCTGTCAGGCATGTGCTCCTTCAGGAAAGGGCCGCATCGGTTTTGTTCTTTACTGTGACCACTCCCCGTGCTCTCCACACATTTCCTGGCACGCAGTAGGTGCTCCAGAGCGATTTTTTGTTCTGAGTGAATGGATGAAAAGGAAGTGACAATGTCACTGGCCTCAGTAAGGGAGCAGGCTCAGGATATCCAGCTGTTCCAACCAGGGAGGCCACTTGTGCCACTTTCAGAGGGGGTGTTTGGTGCTGAGGACTCTCCAGGGGAAGGAGACGGTGCTCAGTCTGGGACGTGATGAATCTGATGTGGCCTGGGACCCATGGCTGCACGTGGCGTGGAGCATTGGGCATTGATTCTGCCCTCACCCCAGAGTCTGGAAACTGAAGCCCCAAAAGCAGAAGAGATGACTCTTCATGGAGGCAGATCCTTAGGGGAAACCTGGGGGGATGAGGCCTGAGCGGGAACCAGCAAATTACTGCCCGTTGGCCAGAAGCCACCTGTCTCTGTAGTTAAGTTTGTTGGAATACTTCCAGGCCCACATGTTGATGTGTTGCGTACCGCTGGTTTGAGTTCTATTAACACATTCGAGCAGTTGAGTCAGGGACCATATGACCCATGAAGCCAAAAATACGTACTCTCTGGCCCTTTACAGAGGAAGTGTGCTGACCCCTAGGCTAGACACAGGGCAGGGCGTCATGGAGAGACCACCTGTTCTGACATTGCTGACCCAAAGTTGGGGAGACTCAGGATTCCAGCTGAGACGGTTGGGTTGGAGGCAGCGTGGTGCCCAGCTGTCCCCCCTATTCTCAGCCACATACTGCATCTCCCACCGTCTTCTGTCTCTGTCCTCTCCTCTCCCCCATCGAGTTCACATCAAAGGGCCGGGGAGGGATTTCTCCCAGAGCTTTCTCTCTTTTGATACTCTGTACTCAGGGCTTCATTGTGCTTGCAGGGCTACCCTTTGTTAGTTTTGCTTTATCTGCAGTGGGAGTGCTGGGAAAGGTGGGAGGCTGTGGGTGGAATGTAGCAGAGACACAGGGAGAGGTGACTGGAACGAGCCATGGAGAGGCACACAGGAGGCTGCGTTGCAGAGCCCGGCCCTGGAAGCTGTGGGTTCACATAGAGGGTTTTAGATACAAAAGACACATGTCAGCATCTCCCAGACTGAAAGTGGATCACTGGAAGGGGAAGACAATGGAGACTGGCTATCAGTCAGCTCTTTTGCATTGGATTTGGGGTCCTGGGGGTTATACTACTGCAAAAACGGCAAGGAGGCCACATGTTCTGACCTCCTCTAACCCTACAAGGGGAAGACAAGATTACCAGCAGTAACCCAAGGCCTATTACTGCAAGGCCAGACATGCTGCCTCCCTCCAGCCCTTTCACCAACCGTTCTTCCCAAAGCCCCCACCACCTCTCTCCTGGGTTCAATAATTCGCTGCAGTGGCCATGCAGAACTCACGGATTACGGGATTTATTAGGGAAGCACCAGGCTACAACTCAAGTTCAGGAAGAATGCTCAGTCTCTCTCCCAGCCCACCGTCCCTTGGCCAACAGTCTCTCACAGTCTCTTTCCCAGCAGTGCTGGTCCCTCGGTGTCTCACTCAGCAATGCATGTCTCTTTCCCAGCAGCACGTGTCTCTTTCAGGGGCGTATGTCTCTTTCGGCCCCATGTCTTCCTCCACCAGCAGTCAGAGAGAGAGTTCTGCCTCCAGGAGGCCTCCTTTTGAGCCTAGAAGGGTGGTCAAACTAGCCAATCACAGCATCAGAACTCTAAGCACGTGAGAGAGAGTGGGAACCTCCCAGAACATTGTATTGTGCCACGCCCAACAGAAATAACCCAGGTGGGCAACTTTAAAATCAAGATCTCCTCAGTTGCTAATAGCAGTTCCCACCTTGGAGTTTACAAAAACTTATGGGTAGAGAAACCACACTAAGTAATTTACTACACCGCAACTACTCTGCTCATTGCTGTGTATTAGAAATTTTTTATAGTAAGTTCTCCTACTAGTCGTTAAGACTGAGGGCTTAGGGTCAGACAGACCTGGGTCCATGTCCTCCCTCCATGTCTTCACAACCACAGGAAGCAGTTACCCACCTCACTGAGCCTGAGCCACTTCCGTAAGTCGGCCTCGGCTGTGTTGCTGACCTTCGAGGGGGAGGACACTGTGAAGGAGACAGCCCTGCAAACCTCAGTCCCAGGGCACGACTGGGCTTTGGAACAACACTGTCTCCGGTTGCACACAACCTATTGTCCACACACTTACTGGCTCAGAACGTATCAGGAGGCCACTGGGGCAGTTAGTCACCATCTGATGAGGAAAAAACTGATTCAAAGGTGAAGCTACCTGGTCGGACGGATCTGGGGCTAGAGCAGGTTGTTTTGTCCGCCTGTTCTGACATTGCTGACCCAAGTTGGGGAGACTCAGGATTCCAGCTGAGACGGTTGGGTTGGAGGCAGCGTGGTGCCCAGCTGTCCACCCTGTTCTCAGCCACACACTGCGCATCTCCTACTATCTTTCATTTCTGTCCTCTCCCCTCCCCCATGCTGTCTCTGAGGACTCGGTAAATAGGGGGAGGCCACGTTTTCAAGGCAGGCGTCTGACAGAGACCCACTGCTAAATGCTGTGACCATGGCACTGTCCTCAGGTGCCATCGATTCTGACTCAGAGTGGCCCATGTGACAGTGCAGCACTGACCCCTAGGGTCTCTGGACAGGAGCAGATCAGCAGGCCATTCTGTGACAGAGCTGCTAGATGGGACCATTCAGTTAGCAACTGAGCACTTCAGTGTTGGGCCACCAGGGCTGTTTATGGAAGCTACATCTGTGGCTTTAAAGAAAAATTATTTGTGTTTTTAGTTTTCTGTAGTGGTAGTGCTTAGAGTAGAAGCAGTCTAATGTGACGGCAGACGCATCTGCCCCCTGTGAGCAGCTTACCTTCCCACGTGCACACTGAGTTGCAGTCATTGAAACAACCCCCGGGTTCCGGCACCCAGATGCACATGACTTCGCTCTTCAAGTAGAACATTGTAAACTGCGCTGATTGGCATTGCTCTGGGTCCCTCTCGTGACCCTTTCTTTTCTTTTTTCCCAGCACTGAGGCAGTTGTGTCCAAGCGTCCTGTTGATCTTGATTGAAGCATCTTAGCTTTTGTTTTTTCCTCCCGCTTCACGAGTGCCAGGTGAAAATTGTTTCTGTAATTGGGGAGGAAAAAGAAAGGTTCCCACAATTACAACACTGACCTGCAATGGTAGAACTTCTCGGAGATCACCTGACCCAAAACTGCTAGCAAGTGGCTGGCCCTTGCCTGCTTGTTCCGGTACCCTGTGCCGCTTCCACATCATTCCTCCCATTCACACTGGTTGAGATCTGGTGTCCTGCCCCAGTCCTCCAGACTGTGCACAGACATGGTGAGTCTGTCCACAAACAGTCCTGGGAGACTTGTCTGTTCGTCCAAGGCCATCTGAGCACAGCTGTCCCTGCCACCCTTTCTCAGGTTGCATAGGCCTAAATCCTTGGCCATGAAAAAGAAAAGGCCTAACTGAAAATATTCTCTCCTAGTCTTTCTGTCTTGTCTTGAAGGTGCTTGACATCCTCCAGCACATCCAGACCCTTGACCCTGGGCAGCACGGGGCGGTGGGCTATCTGGTGCAGCACACACTGGAGCACATTGAGCGCAAAAAGGAGGAGGTGGGCGTGGAGGTCAAGCTCCGCTCTGACGAGAAGCACAGGGACGTCTGCTACTCCATTGGGCTCATCATGAAGCATAAGAGGTGAGTGGCTCCAGGCCATGGTCTGTTCCCGATGTGGCCGCACAGGATGGCGGGTGCCTGGCGAGGACCCGGGGAGCCCCCGCTGACATTCTCCGAGGAGGAGTGGCCACACAGGATGGCGGGTGCCTGGCGAGGACCATCGGGGAGCCCCCGCTGACACGCTTCAAGGAGGAGTGGCCACACAGGACGGCAGGTGCCTGGCGAGGACCACCGGGGAACCCCCGCTGACACGCTCTGAGGAGGAGTGGCTACTAGAGGAAATGGCTATGCACCTTTCCTAGGGTATTTATTACACGTCCACCACCAGAAAGATGAGGCACAGAACTGGACTGTTAATCTTTTGGTTTAAGAATCAGCTCGTGTCCCTGATGGAGAAGCCTGTAAGGCTTTTCAGGGCCCTTTCAAGGTTTGGCTTCCCTCGGCATGAGGATAGAATCAACTGTGTAAGCAAGAGCATTTTTTGTCACATCTTCATCTTCCTCTCTAATCTATATTCCTTTGACTCTGGGTTGTGGGTTGGGGTTTGCTAGGTCTGAGAATATATGTATGCAATTGAGCAATTGGCTTGGCCAGACTGAACCATTTCCAAAGTGACATACTGATTGACATCCCCCCAGCAGGCTAGGAATTCCTGTTCTCACCAGTGTCTGCTATTGCCAGGCCTTTAAACATGTGTGTACCAGGCTTCTTGGTCAGATGAGATGGGTGCAACCCTGAGCCTATGGCCTCAAATCGCCCGTCAGACCTGGAATTCAGCTCACTCCCATGGCTTAACTTTCAGTTAAACAATAGACAGGTCTACAAGGTGAGCAGTTAACCAGGGAGGTGCACTCCATACAACAGTCAGCCGTGGGAGATCAGAAGGACAGTGTTTGCACAGGGGTAGCTCAGAGGGCAGGAATGCATAGGAAAGAAGGACACAGGGGAGAGGGAACTACAGGGAGGAAGTAGGAAGAGAGCTCTTACATTATGAGGATTGTAATCAATGTCAGGAAACAAAATATGTATAAATTATTGTATGGAAAATAAATTTGGTCTGTAAACTTTCACTCAAATCACAATAAAAAGTTAAATAATAAGCCAGAATAAATAAGTAAATAAATAATGATGTGCAGTAAACTGCCCCTGGCGTCCGTGGTGCTTGGATGGGCGGTTTCCTGCTGGCTGAGGGTCTTGTGTTTACTGCTGTTGGAGTTTGAGCTGCTCTTTGAGCATCTCTTCCAGCATGGGGCGTGTGGCTAGTTTGTGTGGCATACAGTTTTCTCCTTATTGATTTATAGTCGTTCTTTAGGTACCAGGCTATGCCAGTATAAGCTTTGAAGATCTTTTCCCAGTTACATGTTCAGTCTCTGTCCTCAGCTTTACTGTGGAAATTTTCAAATGTATGTCAGAGTGGAGAGAGGAGTGCAGTGACCAGAACATGTTCCCATCGTCCACTGTCCACATGCACTGTCACAGGTCACACAACCGGCCTCATTTCATCTCCGCCCTTCACTCTCCTCTCTGGGATGAATTGAAGCAGATCTTGAGGTCAGGCCATCCGTAGCTATTGCAGTCCGTATCTTTAAAAGCTAAGGGCTCTTTGTCTTTTCAAGTACATTTAAATCCTGTTAGTACATTTATAAACTAAACAATTCCATAACGTCATCAAATAGATCATGTTTCCCGACTTGTATAATTTTTTTAGTGGTCTGTCTGAATTAACCAAACCCATTACCATTGAGTTGATTCTGACTCACAACGACCATTTAGGACAGAGTAGAACTGCCTCACAGGGTTTCCAGAGCTGTAAACCTTGACAGAAACAGATCACCACGTCTTTGTCCTTGTCCCACAGAGCAGCAGGTGGGTTCAAACCACTGACCTATCGCTTAACAGTTGAGCATGTAACCACTGCACCACAAGGCTCCACTGTTTGAATTAGAGTCCTTTAATGTCTCAATGATACTAAATTTAGTAGTCTTTCCTGAAGGAATTATAATTTTAATGCCTTGCTTAAGAAATCTACCCTTAAGTCAAGAAGGTATTTCTTCTTTCTTTCTCTTTCTTTAAATTGTGATTTGAGTGAAAGTTTACAGAGCAAATTCATTTTCCATACAGCAGTTCACATACACTTTGTTTTCTGACACTGGTTACATTCCCCGTGGCGTAACAGCTCTCCTCCCACTTCCTCCCTGTGGTTGCCCTTTCCCTGTGTCCTTGGCTATGTATTCCTGCCTCCTTACCTTTCTCCCTGTGCAAATGCTGCCCTTCTGATCTCATATGGTTGGTTGGTCTAAGGAGTATACCTACCTGGTGTAAAATGTTCACCCTATATGCCTGTCTGTTGTTTGCCTGGAAGCTGTGGAAGTGAGTTTAATTCCAGGCCTGAAGAGTGACTAGGGGACATGGTCTTAGAGATTTCACCAGTCTCTGTCAGACCAATAAGCCTCATCTTTATGATTTTGAGTTTTATGCCACATTTTTCTCCCACTGTGTCCAGGATCTCCTATTTGATAACTTTCTGAGTGGTTGACAGTGGTAGCCAGGCACCATCTAGTTCTTCTGGTCTTGGGGTCATGTAGGCTGAGGTTCGCATGGTCCACTTGTCCCTTGGACTAATTGTTTCCACGCGTCTTTGGTTTTCTTCATTCTTTGCTCTGGACAAAGAGAGACTAATTGTTGCATCTTAGATGGCCACTTGTAAGCTTTTAAGACCCTAGTTGCTATTCACCAAAGTAGGATGTAGAACAGGAGCTCTGGTAGCATAGTGGCTAAAGCACTTGACTGCTAACCAGAAGGCTGGCGGTTCAAACCCACCAGCCACTCCTCAGAAGGAAGGTTGGGCAATCCTACTTCCGTAGTGATACTGCCTCAGAAACCCAAGGAGGGGTCGCTATGAGTCGGGGCCAACTCAACGGCACATAACAACAACAACAGGATGTAGAACAATGTTTTGGTGTAGTATGTTATGCCAATTGAGCTTGATGTCCCTTGCTACCATGGTTCTGAGCCCACAGGCCCAACAACTTGCTCTCTGGGGGTGGTTGGCTGTGACTAAGTTATTATAACTCTGCCCCTCTTAGCTCTATTATGTATGTGGACATTCTTACAGCACATAGAAGTATGTATGTAGAAATATCATCTGCCAGACTTACATATGGTTCTGGGTAGATTCCCTTTTGCCTAGACATAACTGATCATTCAGCCTGCCTCCCTTTGTATCCACCCATACATTAATGTTTGTTATTACTGACAATGTGGTAGTGTGTATTAAGTGTTTATCTTTATTTATTTATTTATTTTTTATTAGGATTTGGGTGAAGATTTACAGAGTAAATTCACATTTCATACAGCAGTTCACATATACATTGTCTCATGTCATTGACCAAAATTT